AGATGGCACCACTGAGCTCCAGCCCCGGTGACAGAGGGAGACTCCGTCTGAAAACCAAAAAAAAAAAAAGATTAAGGCCACAGGCCCAGAAAGAGACGCTCACAAATCCAGTTCTATTACGAGATTATGACTTTTTTGCGAACAAATTCCCGAGAAAATGTTCAAAAAACTGCCTCAAGAAGTAGAAACCCTGCGTGTCCTGTGGCCCCAAGCGGGGGCAGTCATGGAGACCCTGGTGGCACAGGGGTCTCACGCATGGGCATGCCAGGTGTGAGGGACGGTCACCTCTGCTTTTGTCCTGGAACGTGAGCTCGTTTCAGCATCTGCAGCTCGCCACGTCACAGATTAAAGCACAATCTTCTCGTGATGATGGAGAAAAACACTTCCTACAACTCGACATCCATTCGTGACTTAAACCACAAGGCAAAACCACAAAAGAGAACTTAATAAAAGCAGCCGCGAAACCCACAGCCGGTATCGTGAGAGGCAGGGGGTGGGGGCCCTCCCTGCTGTGGGACCCACGAACCATGATGCCACTTGACCCTGCCACAGCCGGTATCGTGAGAGGCAGAGTGTGGGGGCCCTCACTGCTGTGGGACCCACGAACCATGATGCCACTTGACCCTGCCACAGCCAGTATTGTGAGAGGCAGAGTGTGGGGGCCCTCCCTGCTGTGGGACCCACGAACCATGATGCCACTTGACCCTGCCACAGCCAGTATTGTGAGAGGCAGAGTGTGGGGGCCCTCACTGCTGTGGGACCCACGAACCATGATGCCACTTGACCCTGCCACAGCCGGTATCGTGAGAGGCAGAGTGTGGGGGCCCTCACTGCTGTGGGACCCACGAACCATGATGCCACTTGACCCTGCCACAGCTGGTATTGTGAGAGGCAGGGTGTGGGGGCCCTCCCTGCTGTGGGACCCACGAACCATGATGCCACTTGACCCTGCCACAGCCGGTATCGTGAGAGGCAGAGTGTGGGGGCCCTCACTGCTGTGGGACCCACGAACCATGATGCCACTTGACCCTGCCACAGCCAGTATTGTGAGAGGCAGGGCGTGGGGGCCCTCCCTGCTGTGGGACCCACGAACCATGATGCCACTTGACCCTGCCACAGCCGGTATCGTGAGAGGCAGGGCGTGGGGGCCCTCCCTGCTGTGGGACCCACGAACCATGATGCCACTTGACCCTGCCACAGCTGGTATCATGAGAGGCAGGGTGTGGGGGCCCTCCCTGCTGTGGGACCCACGAACCATGATGCCACTTGACCCTGCCACAGCCGGTATCGTGAGAGGCAGAGTGTGGGGGCCCTCACTGCTGTGGGACCCACGAACCATGATGCCACTTGACCCTGCCACAGCCGGTATCGTGAGAGGCAGAGTGTGGGGGCCCTCCCTGCTGTGGGACCCACGAACCATGATGCCACTTGACCCTGCCACAGCTGGCATCGTGAGAGACAAGGCGTGGGGGCCCTCCCTGCTGTGGGACCCATGAACCATGATGCCACTTGACCCTGCCACAGCTGGCATTGTGAGAGACAAGGCGTGGGGGCCCTCCCTGTTGTGGGACCCACGCCCCGGATCCCACCCAGCAGAGCAGAAGGGAATGGACGCAGGACCGGCAGAATCCCAGGATCACGCCCAGGACGCATTTTCAGGGGCCTGCAGCCAGACGGGTTGTACTAGAGGTGAGCCGAGAAAGGCTGCAGTCACCAGCACCCTACACTTAGCAACCAAGAGGAGGAAATGTAGTTAAAAGGGCACCTGTTCACAACACCAGCAGTAAAAGTCACCTAGGAGCTGCTGCCCCCAGACACGCAAGGAGTGTGGCCATACAGAATCCACTGAAGCATTCCAGGAGCCCCGAGTGGCCACAGAGAGAAACGCGTGGTCCTGGATGGGAGACCCTCTGTGAGCAAGTCAGTTCTTCCTAGATTCTCAGCAACAGCGACGCCTGCCAGGGAGTCTCCCCAGAAGTACCAGCACCAGCCTCCGAGCGGCCAACAGGGAAAAGGCTGAGGGCTTCGGGACCTGCTCAGGGTCCAACCGCGGGAGCGAGGGGCCTTGCTAGGGAGTGGGGTCAAAAACGGCGTGGCCACCACGACGCGTGCAACTTCCAGTAAAGTGAATGCTCACGATACAGCAGCGCCCTTGAAAACATGTCCACGGGAGGACGAGGTTGTGCGTGTGCACAGCGGGCTATGGTGAAAACCAGACACCACCACGAGTCAACAGGGACGGACCCACCGACTGCAGGACGCCCATGCGGTCAAACAGGACCCAGCCAGCAACCGTGGGCGCCCCCGCGTGCACCAGCAACGTGGCGTGGCACCCACGCCTGTGGGTGGAGCTTTGCCCCTAGAGCCTGCAGTGCTCTGGCATGTGGCTGGAAAATTTCCTAAGTGCAGAAGCAGGAGACCACCTCAGCCGATTCCTAATAGACCGTAGACAGGAGAGTTTAGGAGTAAGTATCGTGAGTAGATACTAGACTTACTGAGTGATTAGATATCGGCCCTGTTGAAAATTAACCCTTGATTAAAGCCTTCTTGTACTTTACACGTGATTCTCTTGGAACTTCAGGTTGCTGTGGTTGGGGACTGATGGGGACACTGTGGGATGTGGCTGAGAGGCAAGAGCATTAATACCCATGAACAGCGACCGGGGCGGTCAGCAGGGACAACCTGTCGAATGCCGAAGCCCAGACCCCGTCACACCCGCACCACGGCTGCTGGAAGCCGTCTAAAGTCTCTGCAGCGGCGCCAGTGCTGGGGAAGGAAGACCTTGGAAGGGAACACCCCTGTCCTCAGGTGAGCTGGAGAACACTCCACTCCCCACGCTCTCGGGGAAGGGCTGAGATCAGTGAGCCCCACCGCAGCCCCCTGGCGCTTACCTGTCTCTACGTGAGGCTGTGCTGTTTGCTACACTCTGTGTCTGCAGCCCTCCCTGCGTCTGCAGCCGGCTCCGCGTTTGTGCACAGCAGGAAGAAGCACAGTGCTCGGAGCCTTCGTTCTCACTTGACGGGTATAAAAGTGCTGAGGTGTCCCACTGCCCCCGCTTCGCTTACTTGCAAGCCCTGGGCCCCTGCTCCTTAGACAGCTGATTTGCTTGACCTATCTAACTGTGGAGGACTCACCCTACTTACCCTGCCCCCCGTTTTGTACCCCACAAAGGTCAGAGTGTCCAGGAACTCAGTGGTGGACTCCTGGGCCCAGCTCTTTTTCTCTCGATCTTGGTGTATTGTGTCTCTATTTCCCTCGATCTTGGTGTATTGTGTCTCTATTTCCACAGTCTTTTGTCTCTGCACCCGTAGAGAACACCCTCTAGACCCAGGCGGGATGGGCCCCGCACTGCCAACCCGTAAACACCCTCTAGACCCAGGCGGGCCGGGCTCCGCACTGCCCACCCGTAAACACCCTCTAGACCCAGGCGGGCCGGGCCCCGCACTGCCCACCCGTAAACACCCTCCAGACCCTGCCGGGCTGGGCCCCGCACTGCCCACCCGTAAACACCCTCCAGACCCTGCCGGGCTGGGCCCCGCACTGCCCACCCGTAAACACCCTTCAGATCCAGGCGGGCTGGGCCCCGCACTGCCCACCCGTAAACACCCTCCAGACCCTGCTGGGCTGGGCCCCGCACTGCCCACCCGTAAACACCCTCTAGACCCAGGCGGGCTGGGCCCCGCACTGCCCACCCGTAAACACCCTCTAGACCCAGGCGGGCTGGGCCCCGCACTGCCCACCCGTAAACACCCTCTAGACCCAGGCGGGCTGGGCCCCGCACTGCCCACCCGTAAACACCCTCTAGACCCTGCCGGGCCGGGCCCCGCACTGGCCACCCGTAAACACCCTCTAGACCCAGGCGGGCTGGGCCCCGCACTGACCACCCGTAAACACCCTCTAGACCCTGCCGGGCTGGGCCCCGCACTGCCCACCCGTAAACACCCTCCAGACCCAGGCGGGCTGCGCCCCGCACTGGCCATCCGTAAACACCCTCCAGACCCTGCCGGGCTGGGCCCCGCACTGCCCACCCGTAAACACCCTCTAGACCCAGGCGGGCTGGGCCCCGCACTGCCCACCCGTAAACACCCTCTAGACCCAGGCGGGCTGGGCCCCGCACTGCCCACCCGTAAACACCCTCTAGACCCTGCCGGGCCGGGCCCCGCACTGGCCACCCGTAAACACCCTCTACACCCAGGCGGGCTGGGACCTGCACTGCCAGGCAGGCAGGTGCGTCCGTTTTCCAGAGCATGTCCATTTTCCAGAGCCATGCACTGCCCTGGACATGTGCTACACCTCCCTCAAAACAAACGACTGACACAGAACCATCTTTAAAATCCCGACCATTCTCCTTGGAAATGCACAGGCGCAGTGTACCATTACAGGAAAATGCAAAGGCCGGAGACGGGCCCAGCCCTCCTGGAAGCGGCGCAGGAGTGGCCTGCCCTTCAAGATGCCCTTGATGGTGGCTTGTGGGGCAGGGATGGCAGCGACCGTGGGCAGCACGGGGGTCAGGGGTGCCTGGGGCTCCTGGGGCTAGGGGAGGCAGCTCCTCACCCACATCGAGACAAGTGACCTGGCCTCTCTCAGACCCTGATTTCTGGCGAACACATGGAAGAAAAGCTCCAGAATGGAAAATCTTAGGAGAGGATCACAGGCATGTGTGGCGTCTACACAGGGCCTCGGTGTGCCTGACCCCCTCCTGCTGCCCAGCCTACAATGTGGTCTCTCACAGCTGCGGGAAACGCTCTTGAGAGGAGCCAGACCTTGGAGGAAGCCTGGGAAGGAGACCTCGGCCTCCAGCCCAGGACAGGGCGGCAGTGGGGTCACCACAGGGGATGCGGAGGAGCTGGTGAGGCCCTGCCGCACATGCAGGCTGGCGAGGACAGGCTTCCCCCAAAGGAAGCCGTAACCCTCCAGAGGCCTCCCATACAGTGGCAGCCAGAAATAGAGACAGGCCAGTGCCTCTATGGACATGGGCAGAGTGGGTGGCACAGGCTCACCTGGAACAGGATCTGCAGCACCCCGTGGACCATGCACGCCCGCCGGCCGAGGAAGAGGAAGAAGGGCACCAGGAGCTCGATGAAGTGGTTGCTGAGTGTCTCGAAGCGGTGGAACCACCAGGGTGAGCGGTGCAGGTAGTATGCCATGGGGTTGGGCACTGGCTGCGTCTGTGGGGACAGGAGGGGCTGAGTGTGAGTTTCCTGGCGGATCCTGGGGGGTGGGGCTGGGGCTGGGCATGTGGGTCCCTGGCCCACGTACTACACACAGGATCCCCCTGACCCTGCACCCACAGAGCCCACCTGCCAGGCTAACAGCCAAAGGACATTCAGGGAAGGGAGTTCCTGAACCAAAAGCAAACTTTGTTTTTCTTAAACTCCTCACCAGCTAAAAGTCAAGAAGACACACCCTACCTGAATGAGAGACACCTTTAAACCATCTGTGCCCAAGTTGAGAACACAGGCAGTTGGGGAATGCACTACCTGCTGCCCGCGAGGGACCCCCAACAGCTGGGGTACACGGGGGGCCTCTCACCCAGGTGACAGGCACCTGGGTGGGGATTGGCAAAAATAGGAGCCTGATCCTGTGCCTGCCCAGTGCTGAGAGCCCAGCTCAGGGCTGTACATGCAAAACTTGGCTACAGGGACCTTGGGGTCTCCCAGGCCAAGGGACCCACATGTAGGGTCCCACATGGCAGCCCTGTCAGGAGGAAGAGGGGGAGCTTGCCCTACACCTAATTCAGAACGATCAGGGCCAGGCGCGGTGGCTCACGCCTGTGATCGCAGCACTGTGGGAGGAGTGCCGTGGGGGATGTGCGCTCTTCCTGGCTTAGCAGAGGGCCTGCTGCATGCTGCTCAGGGCTGAAGGCCTTGTCTGCACAGCCCTCAGGAGCCATGGGGCCCCACAGCCGCAGAAACCCTGCTAGGGAGAACAATGAACACAGCCTGCAGAGCGCCAGGCAGCGCCACTGGCTCCCCGACGCCTCAGTCTGCACCCAGGTCCTGGACTCCTGGGGTCCAGAGAGGTTGCATGGAGGTCGGGGTCCTGGTGGCAGAGGGCGCATGTGGGGCGGTGCTGGGTGGCACTCGCTCCAGGGTGGGGGTGTGGGGAGCGCAGGAGAGGTGGCCATATGCACACCCGGGAGGGGTGTCCCAGCACACAGCCTTGGTGTGCCCAAGAGCCATGGGCTGTGGAGGGTCCTGAGGCCTCTGCTGGTTTACTCAGAGGACAAAGTGCTATTTTTGTTTGCATGGAGGCTGGAAGGAAACATCATGACGTGGAGCGTGGCTATAAGCTGTGGGGGTGGGGGTGGCAGTGTCGCACCCTGCGCAGCAAGGCCAGGAGCTCCTGTGCACAGGGACACTCAGCCCCTGGCCAGGGGAACTGGTGGGTCAGGGCATGGCAGGGCCGCTGGCCCAGACCTCAGGAAACAGCCTGCAAACTTCTCTCCCAAAAAGACAATTTTAAGTAAGAAAAACGTGAGGAAAGTGTGAAGTGGCGGCAGGTCTGGGGGAGTGCTTGTCCTCTGTTGGGACTTAGAAGGCGGCAGGGCTCGGGGAGTGCTTGTCCTCTGTTGGGACTTAGAAGGCGGCAGGGCTCGGGGAGTGCTCGTCTTCTGTTGGGACTTAGAAAGTGGCAGGGCTCCGGGAGTGCTCGTCCTCTGATGGGGCTGGAACGCCCCGTGTGGGACCTATCCTCCAGTGTCCACAGGGAAAGGCCAGAGAAGCAGAAGGCATGGTGTGCCACTTCCCTTTCAGGCTGGAAGGTGTGTGTCTGGGGATGCAGTGAGACCCACTTGGGAGGCGGCAGCCTTGGCTTCCTCCTGCATCTCCAGGGCAGGCCACACCCCAAGTCCAAGCTCTTAATCTGGCTTTTGGGGTAAAAGACTTTCACTTCTGCTCCCACCTTGCACGCTGAGGCTACTGATGCATATCCTGGGCGGAATGAAGGTGTCAGCGCATCGCTGAGCTTTGACCAGGAGGGGAGAGAAGGCTGCTTATGCTTATCAGGTGAGTGTGTTTAAATTAAGAAGGCAGGCCCCAAGTGTTCCAGGAACAAGCCAATCACAAGGGTCCCTGAGCCCCTCCAGGAGAGCAGGGCGGTCGCAGGTATCCTGAAGGCACAGTGATGGCCTGGTGCAGGGTCAGGGTGCAGAGAGTAAGCATGGCAGGGCACACTTCCTGGGTCACGCTACTTAACTGCTGGCCAAAGTGCCCTTGTTCCAGGGGAGTCAGGTGGCTCTAGGCAGACCCAGGGGACCCCTGGCCTACAAGCCGATGCCCTAAGGTCTGTGGTCATGGCCTTCTCCCAGATGGTAGGCTGACTGTGGGGAGATCCTGTCCCATTACGAGATCTGTTTGAAGATCACTCACAGCCCTACATGAACACACCAACCCCAGTGACCCCAGATCACAGCCCTACATGAACATACCAACCCCAATGACCCCAGATCACTCACAGTCCTACATGAACACATGAACCCCAATGACCCCAGATGACCCACAGTCTGCATGAACACATGAACCCCAATCACCGCGATCACTCACAGCCCTATATGAAAACATTAACCCCAATCACCCCAGATCACCGCCCTACATGAACACACAAACACCAATCACGCCAGATCACAGCCCTACATGAACACATGAAACCCAATCACCCCAGATCACAGCCCTACATGAACACACGAACCCCAATGACCCCAGATCACAGGCCTACATGAACACACGAACCCCAATCACCCGAGATCACAGCCCTACATGAACACACGAACCCCAATCACCCGAGATCACAGCCCTACATGGACACACAAACACCAGTCACCCCAGATTACAGCCCTACATGAACCCCAATCACCCCAGATCACAGCCCTACATGAACACATGAACCCCAATCACCCCAGATCACAGCCCTACATGAACACATGAACCCCAATCACCCCAGATAACAGCCCTACATGAACACACGAACCCCAATCACCCGAGATCACAGCCCTACATGAACAAACACCAATCACCCCAGATCACAGCCCTACATGAACACATGAACCCCAATCACCCCAGATCACAGCCCTACATGGACACATGAACCCCAGTCACCCCAGATCACTTAGATTCACCGAGATCGAAACGAAGGAGAAAATATTAAGGGCAGCCAGAGAGAAAGATCAAGTCACCCATAAAGGTAAGCCTATTAGGCTTACAGCAGATCTCTCAATGGAAACCCTACAAGCTAGAAGAGAGTGGGGGCCAATATTCAATATACTTAATCAACAGAACTTTCAGCCCAGAATTTCATATCTGGCCAATTTAAGCTTTACATTTGAAGGAAAAATAAAATCTTTTAGGAACAAGCAAGTACTCAGAGATTTTATTACCACCAGGCCTGCTTTACAAGAACTTCTAAAAGAAGCATTATACACAGAAAGGAGCAACCAGTATGACCCTTTCTAAAAATACACCAAAAAGTAAAGAGCATTAACATAAAGAAGAATTTACATCAACGAAAGGACAAAATAGCCAGTTAATATCAAATGGCAGCAACCCTAAATTTAAATCGGCCAAATCTCCCAATCAAAAGATACAGACAAAATCTAACGGTATATCCAAAGATATACATAGACTCAAAATAAAGGATTGGAAAAAAAAAACCAAAAACGTACCAACCAAATGGAGAGCAAAAATAAATAAATAAGAAGCAGGAGTTGCAATTTTCACATTTGACAAAATAGATTTCAAAGCTACAAGGATACAAGGGTAAAAGGATTAATGTAATAATAAGAGATCTTAACACCCAGATACATAAGACCCATAATGAGATTTAGATTCAACGAGACAACAAATTGATAACGATACCCGGGACTGGAACTAAGATCCAGAACAAATAAACTCAATAGAGCTCTCCATTTTAAACACACAAAATATACATTATCCACAAAATCTAACGATATATCTGAAGATATACAAAGACTCAAAACAAGGGGATGGAAAAAAACTCACCAACCAAATGGAGAGCAAAAATAAATAAATAAAAAGCAGGAGTTGCAATTCTCACACTTAATAAAATAGATTTCAAAGCTACAAGGATGCAAGGGTAAAAGGATTAATGTAACAATAAGAGATCTTAACACCCAGATACATAAGACACATAATGAGATTTAGATTCAACGAGACAACAAATTGATAACGATATCCAGGACTTGAACTCAGAGCCAGAACAAATAAACACAATAGAGGTCTCCATTTTAAACACATAAAATATGCATTAACCACTTTAAACACTCAAAATATTGATCGGCCATTATTGAAACCCATTTTATGAAAGAAGTAATATTCCTTTTTCCCTTTTTCTTTCTTTCCCCTTCTTTAAAAAAAAAAAAAAAAGATCACACTCAGCCCTACATGAACACATAAACCCCAATCACCCCAGATCAGTCCAGTTCTACATGAACACACGAACCCCAATCACCCCAGATCAGTGACTGCCCTACATGAACACATGAATGCCAATCACCCCAGATCAGTCACAGCCCTACATGAACACATGAACCCCAATCACCCCAGATCACAGCCGTACATGAAGACATGAACCCCAATCACCCCAGATCACAGCCCTACATGAACACACGAACCCCAATGACCCGAGATCACAGCCCTACATGAACACACAAACACCAATCACCCGAGATCACAGCCCTACATAAACCCACAAACACCAATCACCCCAGATCACAGCCCTATATGAACACATGAACCCCAATCACCCCAGATCACTCTCAGCCCTACATGAACACATGAACCCCAATCACCCCAGATCACTCTCAGCCCTACATGAACACATGAACCCCAATCACCTCAGATCACAGCCCTACATGAACACACGAACGCCAATCACCCCAGATCAGTGACAGCCCTACATAAACACATGAACCCCAATCACCCCAGATCACAGTCCTACATGAACACATGAACCCCAATCACCTCAGATCACAGCCCTACATGACCACATGAACCCCAATCACCCCAGATCACAGCCCTACATGAACACACGAACCCCAATCACCCCACATCAGTGACAGCCCTACATAAACACATGAACCTCAATCACCCCAGATCACAGCCCTACAAGAACACATAAACCCCAATAACCCCAGATCACAGCCCTACATGAA